ATTGGCAAAACAGCAAGACTTTCCTCACGCAGTGTGTCACCGGCAGCATACTTTACAATCACACTGAACTGGGATAAATGGCTTATGTCTGTTGATTCATCCAAAGCGAGGGAAAAGTATGGCGCTGCATTTATGTCCTTCACTTGTTTCCTCCACTTGATTTGCCATCATGATGGTACGATTGTGAACAGTACTTGCTGACAGAGGCGTATCTTTTATTCGTTTGATTATCTTATCTTTATCCGAAAAGTCGTCAAACAGTTCATTGGCCACATCAAGCATGAATGTTTTGGCATACTCGCCATCTGTGAATGGCTTTCCATTCCTCACTATTACTAAAGAACCAGCAAAGTCACCACAGAAGCTGCTCTCTCCACAAAGGCGAATTCCTCTGTCCATTCATACTGAAATGTACGGTACTAATCTTTTTTCTTTTCGCCATCTCCTTCATCAAAAAGGTTTGCTCTGCATAAATTAGCTAGCTGACTATTTGATTAAAAGGAGGGAAGTTTACTTCTTGACCTCACAACAACCCGTGTAGGCTACCGCATTATCCAATAAATATAGAGTTTTGGTGTCGGACCCTCCTGTACCCCAAAGGACAGCTGGGATTGGCTCCAACCAGCCGCAACCCTGAATTGGAAATGGATTAAAATGCATGAGAATGTTTTATATTTAGAACGTTATTTTTAACACTGTGATTTCTGTAATGTTTTACTTTAAAATGTCAGCGGAATTATTCATTACTTATGGTGCTAAGAAATGTCAGTTAAGATTTATCTGGGAGCCAGATGCGTTCATCAAAAGAGCCACATCTGGCTCGCGAGCCATAGGTTCCCGACCCCTGTTCTAAAGCATGTTGTGCTCCTGGCATTGCTATTGTAAGGCATTTGTACTTTACAAAGTCAGCAAATAGACTTTGCTGATGTTTTTAATTTTACCATGTATGATTTTTTAAAATACTAGAGTAGCCGTTTCCATTTGGGTTAGTGAAGAGAACAACAGCAATATGCTGATGTGGCTGAAAGCCACAGAAAATGCTAGAAAAGCTTTTTTGCTTTGGTCAGACTACTATATTCAAGTTCAAGAAAGCTGCTCTCCTGAATTTTCAGAAAATTTAGAATATCAGGGACTATACTGAATATTCAAACTGCAATGTAACTCTACATTTACTGCAAATAAATTCTCTACTGAATTAATAGGTTATGTATGCCATTGTGCAACCAAAGCAAGTTTCTGCATGGCTTAGCCCATTACTGCCACATGGCTGCAGGTCAGGTGTGAACCCGTTCTGGGCCATAGCATTTATTGTGATAATATTAACTTAGGTAAATGTAAACCAGTGAGCTGCTGAAGCACCTACTCTGTACAGTGCTTTGCGGCTCTATTCATAAATAGAAGTACTGTAGCTTTACATACTTTATATTTTTAATCACTGCTCATATGTATATGAAAAACCTGTATAGTCACCTTTCCAGAAACACAATGTCCCAAGTTTAAAAGTCACAGATAAAGTCCGTACCTAGAGTAGTCTAGCAAGCTACAATATTACTGCACCCCTACATGAGGTTGTCTGTAGGTGTAACATATTAGTTCCTTATCATATCACACCTTAGCACTTTTTCCCTCAAACATCTATTGTTGCTCTTGAATTGTCGAAAAGAGAAGTGCAAAAAAACCACAGTCATGTTGCAGTTTCATATGAACTTGGCACACTTTAACCAAAGTGAGAACAGTCCATTTCATATTTAATACACCTATAGTACATTGTCCTTTCTTATTGCAGAACAGTATTTCAGATATATCATAGTGTATTAATAGAAACTATTAATCTATCAATTAAGACTTACTTTCCCTTCAGCCATATCTGTTAGCTCAGTGTATCCATCTTTAAAGCATCTTCACACTCTGTTATACTGGTTGATTTATCTCAAAACAAGTAATGAGTATGCAGTCATTGAAAATTTTAAACTATGAATATAATAATATTTTTGTTGGAAATCTTGGAGGTCAGACTGGCTCTTATCATTGCTAGAGTGCTCTCTGCTTTGCCCTTCAGGCCAGTACAGAATACATGTCATGTTGTAAGGGAGGCAGACAGAAGTAGTTCAGTCTAGATGAGGTAGTCATCTATCAAATGACTTATAATCTTTCCAAGTCTCTGGAGTGTAGATATGAAACTGTTCAATCATAAATATGTGTAAACAGCTGATAATCAGTCATTTAGTAAGCCATTTGAGCTAACTGGATTATGAAACAAGAAAGGTACTGACTAGAGGTTGTCAGATGATGGGTGAAATTAGGCTATTGTCAAAAGACCAATCCTGAGCAAGAATTTATTTATTCTGAACCAGGATTAAACTGATCCAAAGATCCAGCTTAGAGCTGAAACAATCAGACCAGTGCAAGCCTAGTTTAAGACACAACATCGTCTCAGATCATACTAGGGTAAACGGAGGAAGATGATTCATGACTACAGAGCAGTACATTTTTAAACATTCTCTATTTTCACCTATGGGTTCAACTCAGTTGAGATGTTTTGGTGTCATGGTGACAATAAGCTATGAGCCTAACCTGTCTACAGTATTTTAATTAAAGTTACCTAGAGACAGAAAATGGATTTTATCACATATTTAGACAGATATTCATAAGACATTGATATGATTGAAAAATGTATGAGCTCTACATTTTAATTAGGCCACTAAGCCAATGTCCAATTGTGAGTCTCCTTGTCAAATGTTTACACCAGTTGAGGGGTAACTAGGTGGTGTAATGTTTACACCACCTAGTTGAGTTGCAAGCCTGAAAACTAGCCTCAGTCAGGCAAGACTATATTTTGGGGGGAGGGGGCGTTTGGGAGCGCACTATCATTGTGGGGATTTAACTAGTAAATCCTTAAACTTTACAGAAAACAACATGGTTTAATGTTTGGTTAAAGCTAGGGTAAGTCTACCAAGACCTGGTAAGTGACAAAAACATATGTAAGTGTAAGTGTGTGTTTGTTCATGAGTCATTCTCTGCATACTGCTGTGTGGGTGTCCATGGCTTAAGTCCATCTCGAGTATCAGGTGTGTATATAGCTATAAATAGGCAGTCGGCCCCCGCAGGCTTTGCAGCTTGATGCTTTTCTTTCTTTCCATTTCTTTTTGTCTGTCTTTTTCTTTCGGTTGCTGTTTTTTTGCTTTGTATGTGGTTCTGCCGGTTCCTGCCTGCCTTGTGATGTTGAAGACAACCACTTCCCCAAAGAAAATCAGCTTTTTCTTCTCTCTCCATGCTGTTACACGTACTCGACAGTAACTCCACGCAATCACAAGTGCAGTGTTTCTTTGTTGTATTTTAAATTGACTGTGGGTGTATGTGCCGGTGTTGTAACAATGCACTGTCAAGTGGGTTGTCATGCAGGCTACATGTAAACTTCGTGTGCCTGTTTGACATCTGTCTGGAATGAGATTGCATTTGTGGTAAAAAGTTAAAATGACTGTTTGTGCGCAGTATATGTGGTTAGCTGATGTGTGTCTGGTAACACACACGATTCTTAGTAAATCTGTTATGATGCAAGGTGGGATTTTTCAAGGAATTGTATTTATCGTATTCTCTTCTGCTCAAAATACGGTAATGTCTCCAGTATATTGGAACAGTCACTAGCAACTGTTACCCTTTTCCATGGAACAAGAAAAATCAACTTGGCGATGGCAGAGTGAATTGTTGGTGTGTGTGCATGTGTGTGTGCCAGTTAAAGGGGAAGACTGTTCTCAGTGATGAAAGCATAGGAAGGTTCCTGTGTGTATTTTGAGCCTGAACTCATTTGTATTCATTGATAAGACAGTATAGATAAGAGAGCATGGATCTGGGCAAGAATAGTATTTAAAAAAAAGTTTTATGATGTCAGATTTGCACTGCCTCTAGGCAGAGACTTTGTGTTTTTTTAAGATGTGTGTCTGCAGACTCTGCACATAGTAAGAATGGAGGAGATATGCTTGTGTTTTATTGAAATCTGCTTTTTACAGATACAGACTGCCAATGCACACTCTGCCTTTTCATTTAACCCTGCACTTTCTCAGCAGTTAGGTGTTTGCAGAAGAAAAGGTAGATTTGCTTCTCTTTAATAACTGTCACTTTGTGTTTTCCTGGCAGCTGTTATTAATGGAGGCCCGCATGACAACGAGTGTGAGGAATGTGCTCATCTTGATCTTGGTCCTCCTCGCCACAGGTATAATAACCACAGTAGAAAAAAATAAGTACCTCTTTTAGCCTCATCTTACACTGTCACTCCATTGCACTGTGTGAACTGCTGTATAACATGACTTTAAGTGAGCTCACTTTTTTTGTGGTCAGGCTCCATGACAGATACAACATTTATCAAAGGTGGTGTATGTATTTCAGCACCACGGAGACATGGAGAGCAGGGAAGAGAGACACAGAGAGAGGCCATTTTACTATGTGCACCCTCCTGTGTGAATATGTAGGCTATACCTTTGTATTCCTGAGTCTCACGGTCCACACAGTAACTATTTTATTTTCAGTTTTACAAATGTGAGAAAGAAAACCAAGTTGCTTGCCACAGAGAGAGAACTGATTGACACTTAAAACAAAACCTGCCTTGTTTTCTTTTTCACACAGGCTACCCTTTGATCTCTAGCCTCAATGAGAAATAGCGATTCATGCGCAGACTGAGTGGGAATGTTTTTTTCTCTTCGTTTTGTTTTAAGGCAACTAACATGATCAAGAGAGTCTTTTTGGCTGATCTTTACGTTAAAGTGAAGTTTACTGCGGCGCCAGTTGATGTTGATGGCAAGAATTGCATGCAAGTCAGAATCTTTATTAAAATAAATTAGTGGTGAATCGCCCTTATGTTTGAATCATCAATAATAGCCTAATTTTACACATGATCGATGATGATAAAGATACTGAACAACAGAAGTACATGGCAAAATAACATATTGTCAATATTTTAGACTGAGACCTCCCCAAAATTTTGAATATCATATTTTCAGGGGAGCTCATGTCTTATTAAGGGGAGGTGCGCTCCCCCTAGCTCCCACGTAGTTGACACCATGCTCCATTGTGTCTGCTTCAGTACATGGTACATTTATTCATGTGTAGGGATATTCAGTGAGACACATTTTAAAAAAGTACATTATAATAGAAACTTCCAACATATACCAAAAGTTTCCTCTGTTGTTGATCAGATTATACACTGCCCAGCCAAATTAAAAGCCACACCTGTACAGCTGAAAAAATGTGTGTCTGTAGATGCGTGTAAAACTCCAGTGTTTTTCAGTATTACATTCACAACACAATATATATTCTAAATGTTTTTGTAACCCTTAAAGGAAAAGCAAACACCTTTTGTCAGTGTGTTCCTTCTTTTGTTTCCTTCAGGTTCAAGTGAAAATGACCTGGACTTTGAATTTTGTGGCACCTGGCACCATGGCAAGGAGCCCCTGACCCTGAATTTCAACTTGTCCACAGGCTGTAAAGGGATCTCAGTCTCAGCCAATAAGAGCTCTCTGACCATCAATGGGCAGATCACAGGCCATTGTAGGCGATCTGATAAGATTCCTCTCAAAAGGTTTCAACTTGAGTCAGAGGACAATAAATTCTGTCTGTACTGGGAACCACTGCTGGACCTGCTGAAGCTGGAGGTAAACCAGAAGGAGGGGGGAGCCAAGATGAGGATTTGTTTCCTTGCTTCTCACATAGATCTAAAAGTTAATATAACCCAAGTTTTCAGGTTATGTTCCCCCGCTGTCTGGCTCAGTAACATCAAAGTAATGGAACAGTGCGCTTGTCTGACTTTTCACTCAGTGTGAGGAAAATGACAAGACCTGATACTTGTATGAAATGGAAGGTGTGAAAACAAAACTAGCATCCATTTGTTTTCTTGACACTTAACTGTATCAGCCCTCAAAGTGTAAGAGTAGTGTCTATACTAAAGTTCATGTCTATAAAATGAGTAATACTCTTAATGTACCAAGTGAAACCAAGTGAAAAGCATAAAACAGATGCATAGACTGTATGTGGTACAGTGACTCAATTGCATTCCTTGTTTAGGAGCTTGATGAGGGTTGTTTGTTTTTGTTTCATTGTTCTTATTTTGTCCCACAGATTGGAGGACAGAACCTGACTCTGTGCTGGCCTGTCACTCTACATGGCTCCTGCTGCACTGACCTGTCTCTCGGTCCTAATGAACCCGAAGCATCGTATGGCATCCTCAATGGAATGATAAAAACCGATATCATCAACCACAAAATACACACAGGCTACAATTTCAGTGCGAATTCCATCAACTGCAGTAAGGAATGATGAATGCTATCTGTAGTACATTGGTAAATGGAATATATTCAGCAAGATGAAAGCACATCAGTTAAAGATTTTTCCTATTGTTCCCTCCAGTAAGTTTTCACATTGATTGTAAAAACTTCCTTTTGTTTAATCAAATGTATGTCAGGATGGCTAGATTACATTTTAAATTAAAAAATCTTCAAATATAAGTTGTACTTTAGATTCAGATTTCTGTTCAGAAATGTCTAATGTTCTGTTTAGAAATATCAACTTCAAAACTGTGCTTGCTTTTTATTTTTTGCAGAAGCTATATGTGATCAGTGGAACAATGGATTCAACCAAGTCCACGGGTAATCTTCTTTGTTGTTTTTTCTACACACGCATCACATCTACTGTTTACTGAATAGCATGACATGGAGTTTTTGTCTCCATCCTTCCTCCTCCTGTCTTAATTGTTGAGGCTTTAATCAAGTACATAATCTCTGGCCACAAACAGGAAGCTAAGTCATAAAGTATGTTAGGGTTGGGTTTACAAAGATGATATTGCTTTTTCTAAATGGCTACTTGAAAACACAGTTTTGAACATAATGTGGTTGCATGTGTTAATGTGCGTGTCCAGGACTGAAGCCGCTGTCAGCTCCCAAGCTGTAGAGAAAATTGGGCATGCCTGTGCTAGAAGCTTCGAGGTGGAGATGAAGGCACATTTCGGAGGCAACAACATCACATCCCCTGTAAGACACACAAAAGACTTAAAATGACTCGCTTGAAGAATACCAGAACTTACATCTTTCACTAGTTCTTAGTTATGTTCAGCCCCAAACCCATTGTTTCCAACTAAAGAGATTTTTTTAAGATAAGTCACAAGTATACATTACATTTTCATTTAAAAAATGCCCAGTCATTTCCTAAAACAACTCACCACTGTAGTTTAGGAGACGTTACAAAACAGGTATAAATTTACATTTATTTGGGCTATTGTCAGCTGTGGGTTTGTGTGCTCCTCTTGTGTACTGGGGAGCAACTGAAAATAAACTACAGTGTATGTGTGCATTGTAAATAATCCATGTCACCCAGTGCAACAATGTGCCAACTGGTGGTGTCTAAATGAACTAGTTCACGTTAATTTATTTTGTTCTTATCTATTTTAAATGCAGCTCTGAGCAGATGAAAACATTTTTTAGTAGAACGTCTTCCTACCCACCCATCCCCAGCGTCTAGTCACTGCCACTCAGTCAGCTTTTACATTCATAAGTTTAGTGATGCAAAAGAAACTAACCACCTACATTTAATTTAGTGTAGCACATATACTATGTTTTATGGCACTGGAGAATTATGATCACAGCTGTATTCTCTCAATGCGATCCATGCTTTGACTAGACATGGGTGGAGTCAGACAATTTTGAGTAAACAGTTAAAATATCATATCAAAGAAACACACACTGAAGTAAAAAAAAAAAAACAACCCCTGCCGTTTTGCAGTAAATCACTTGCACATATAGTATTTGACTGCAGTGTCCACTGTGGCATCAGACAAGACAGAGTAACATTAACCAATTTTCTCTGGAGGAAAAGTGAGTCAGACTCAACATGTGAAACACACCACAGCTGCTGCTGTGGTGTGTTTCAGACTTCATCATGATTTACAGCTACCAGCACTTAGTCTATTGATAACATACAAGCCTGCCAAGTTTCCAACAGCAAACCAGCCATAAATGTGAACACACAGTCAGACCAGTTTTACCTTAATCCAGATGATTTTTACTCTACGTTATATAGTGTAGATGTAATCCAAGGCAGATCATTTTCCATATGACATACCTGAAGCTTCCCGTTGTTTTGGTGTTTACACACAGTTCATCTATGTCCAGTAACGTTATTTTAAAACTCACTGGGTCAGAAAAATAAGTCAGTGTGTCCTGACCTAAAACTATCTTACAGGTCAGATGGTTCACTCGCTCCTCTGTGTATTTCAAGAAAACATAGGCTAATTTCACTGACATTCGCATGGCTGTTGTTTGGATAAAGGAAATACTCCACAAGTTTGACCCATAAGATGGGACATTTCTTTTTTTGGTGCATCGAATATTAGCAGTATTAGATATTAAGTGAACAAAGCCTTTGCTGCTAGGTTAATCACCCTGTGTGTGCACTAACCTCACATTCATGTTATTTAGTTGTTAGCTAATCCGTTCAGTTCACCCATTGAGCGTATTCAATGAACATCGCACTTTTAGCCAGTTCATGCACAATACTGGTGGGACGGATGCTGAAAGCTAACATTTTTCCTCTAACTACCCAGCAATCTACATGCAGATCTACTCATTACAGATGTGTACATCAAGGGGTTGTGATGCACGCCCACAAGCGGGACAGCAGGGTGGTGCAAGTCATGTCACTGATTTGACAAAAACTTTGAAAATGTAAAACCATTTTATTTTTGGTGACTTTTTGGTGACATCATGTATTTAACAGGATTGGTAGTTTTCATGTTCACGCCTGAAGTGAATTGATCCAAAACCTGGTGGCCTGTCTTGAACTGTACAGTGTCCTTTTTTGTGTATATGCTGTATTCTGTTTTCCAGGCCACTAAAGGTGTATCTGCAAAGACTGCTACTGCTGTCCATCTGCCCCCTGCTCTTAAAAAAGCTGCAAAAAAGACTAGTAAAGTAGTCTGCACTTTCTTCAAAAACATCACCGTGTTCCAGGTAAGGCTGTTTGCTCTCAGTGACACGTCAGCATGTCACACCTGCCTGACTGCCTCTTCCTTACTTTTGTTCCTCTTTGTGTACATACTGTTTGTAGGCTGTACTATGTGAAGGGGAATTAAAGATGTGTGTGTTTGTGTTCCAGGAGGGTCACAAAGAGGTCCAGATTCTCAGTGAAGTGGTGGGAATTACCATAGAGAATGAGGTTATTGTTGATCTGTCTGAGCCAATCAGGATTGAATTTCACCATGATGCCATGCCTGTAAGTTTGTGGCCTTTTTTCTGTATCAGTGTGATTAACATCCATATGCACTGGCTAAATCTGTACTTTCAAATTGTATTGTTTAATATTTTTTCTGAATTCACAAGCAAGAATTTGATGATAAATAAATACAGTTAATTCATGGTCTACATTTTCCTCACAGTTTTATGGTAGCGACAGAAATTAGTTTGTTTGAAAAGTACAGTGGGATATTTTTCCTGAAACATTACAGATATCAGACTACCTCCCTGAAACAGCAGCAGAACTGATGCAAATGCTGCCTTGCTCTGAAACATTACAGATATCAGGCTACCTCCCTGAAACAGCAGCAGAACTGGTGCAAATGCTGCCGTGCTCTTGTAGTGTGAACGCTGTAAAAATATTTTCTATCTACTTCTCAAATGTGGTTTAGCTGCAGGTGCCACTTTAAAAAACCAAGACGCTCCATTTCAGTTCCATGACATCTGCTTCTGCCTGTCATTTTCATCAGTACAGAGAACACAAAAACCGCTTGAAAGTTTCTTTTCTTACCTCAGATCTTGCAAAAACATTGTGCTTAGGGTCATCTGTTGTTTGTTCCCCACTGTGCACACACACAGACTTACAGGTTAGCAAGTGGTGACATGCAGCAAGGCAGATTTTAAATAGACATAAGTATTGAATGCAACTATGTACAGTGGCAGCTGTTTCAAATTAATCAAAATGTGCAGCACCTTAATGTGAGATGAATTCATCTCATGTCTTTCTCTCCTCTTTATTTCAGAAAATGCATTCAAGGAAGTGTGTTTCATGGGATACCAGGAAAGGTCAGAACCCTTTGGCACTAAGAATATAAACAATATTTATTGAACACACAGTGTATCTGTATTAACCAGTTTATTGACTGTACCTCCAAAAGATGACAGAGTGTGTTTGAATTGTGCAGACCCTTTGCAAGTCAACTGGTTGGTGGATGGATGTGAGACAAAACTGAGAGGAGCAAACCACACCGAGTGCCTCTGTAACCATTTGACTTACTTCGCTATACTGGTGGTGAGACACACCTATTTTATACAAGAAACCAACAAAACTGAGAGAAAGTAATATATTGTAGGAAAATAAAAACAATATTACCATTAAGGACCTAAAAACATCTGTGCATGATTTAATACACAGACACTAACACACCAATCACTTTATCATGAAGAAACACACACAAAATACATAGAAATGTTTGCACTTGTATTTTGGTATACGAATATGAATCTGCTCGTTCTTCTGTGTCCTGTGACAGCAACTGCAGCCTCGACCAGTGCGCCACCTGCTGGCACTGACTGCCATTACAGCTCTGGGCTGTGCCATGTCTGTGATCAGCTGTATTGCTCTCATCATTTATCTCTGTAAGAAGAGGTAATGCTTTCAAGGACTAATGTAGTCTATCAAAAAAGATCAGTCTTTTGTGACAGTTAACCGGAAATTTCCATTCCATTCTCCTTCTAGCAGGCGATCTAAGGAGCAGTCCACTCCCATCCACCTAGGCTTGGCCACATCTCTCTTGTTGCTCAACCTACTCTTCTTCTTAACTGGGGTCCTGGCCAACATAGGAGGGGAGAGTGTGTGTACCTGGGTGGGGGCAGGCCTCCACTACACCCTGCTCAGCTCCTTCACTTGGATGGGCATAGAAGTTTTACAAACCTTCTGGTTGGTCTGCATAGTTTTCCGCCCTTCCCCAAAGCCCTATGTATGGAACCTGGTGGGCTTCGGTGAGTGTGGGATGGCATATTTCTATAAAAATACATAATGGCACATTAAACTAAACATGTTCCTAACAGGTGACCTTTGAAAAATGTTTTGCAGTTCTCCCTGCTGTTCCTGTCATCATCCTGGCTGCAGTTGGTGACATTTATGGAATGAGAGAAGTGGTGCCAAGCACCGACCTCTCCGACCCTTATCTGATGTAAGCAAGATTTTTTAGACAATAATAGTTGCTGTGAAAAAATATATGTAGGAACACCATAATAGTGATTTAAAAAGCTAGTAAATAAAAAGTGTATATGGTGCTTCCAGGTGTTGGATGAAAGTTACCTTCAAAGCCTTGCTGGCTCACTATTTCATCAACATGACCATCCTGGTCATCCTCGTGTTCTCGGGCATTGTGATGCTCTTCCTGGTCTACAGGGAAATTCGCACCAGAGCTGAATGGAGGAAGAACCGTGTGGCTTTTCTCAGCATCTGGGGCCTAAGCTGCTTGTATGGGACAACTTGGGGCCTGACATTCCTGGACTTTGGACCCCTTGCTGACTTTTTTCTCTTCCTCTCCTGCATCCTCAACTCTTTTCAAGGTCTGTGTTTGTAGCACTCGTCCAGTTATATGCCTAGTCTGACTTTGAATTTGACCTTGTGTTCAACCCACAGCCAATATGCTGATCCAAAGGATATGAGAGAGTTTAAATGAACTATGAGAAGATATACATTTGTGTATTTTTTCCAGAATTGATGTCAGCTTCACAGAAGGTTTAACTACAGTATGTATGGTCAGAGTTCAGACAGAGGTATTTTCATTGTTAGGTCAGAGATTGGTGACTGTGTATTTGGAGCCAGTGGCCCCCATTGTATCAGTGTGGGAATGAGACAATGGCTGTGGTTAATCAGGATTTCTGTTACTGGTGCCTATCAGAAGAAAGGCTGTTTCCTCTCACATGCTTGTTTTTGAGGCAGGTCCAAAAAACTTTTATTAACCCCTTTGTTGTTGCACAGCAGTAGTTTAGTTTTATATAACAACTATCTAACCTGTTTAATGAGCTGCTGGTTAGGTCTGTATGTACAGTGTGCATGAGCCTATATCCACAGGTGTTGCATTAGAATTGTCTAGATATTTTATAGATTTTATATGGAAATTATGCTATGTTAAATGTATTCATCAACATTATACTAAACATTTAAAGTAGTCCTCTGAGATAGTATTAAATGCTTTCCTTAAGTTCTCTCCTATTCAAAAATCACACTGATTAATGAGAGAATTAAAAAGACAAAGAAATGAAATATTTTTCAACAAGAACTGATTAATGGAATGGAAGCCTCCAAGTCCATGTACATAATGCCACTAAATCACAGTAAAAATACATTATCAAACAACTACTGTACATTATTAAACCAAAGCCAAGTCTATAAATTATAATGCAGTCCATACCAACGGTGATTGTTATATGTATTATTGGTTCATTTAGTCTCATGAAGTCTTTCAGATCTGGTTCACCAAAACTAAAACCAAGCACTAGGTAATGAGCTGCAACCAAACTGACACTAACCTGACTCACTCAGAAATAAATCCTAGTTTTAGAGACAGACCCAATCGTCACTGAACTACAAAACTTCTTCTGACAGCTGATGAACCCAGTCTATTTAGATTTCACATCTTTACAATGCAGGTTCACTTGTTTGCAAAAAAAAAGTAACAATACCTTTGGCTTCAGGCAAATTCTTACAAAGTCTCATCTCGCTGAAGAACGCAATCATGCCAGAAAATATATTTGACAGAGAAAATAAAGGACAGAGTATTTAACTGTTCACCTTGAAAAGACTGAACATGTCCTTACTGTGCCCCACATATTGCATGGGCTTCTCCCCAGTGATCCTGAAAAGGTAGAGAAAATGAACAAAAGAATCACTCCAGGTTTTCGGTCTGTTCCAACAGGCTTCCTTCTGATGCTGCGGTTCTGCCTGCTGGACTGGATGAAGAAACCGACTGGTGGCTCTTCTCTCCGCAGCAGAATCTCTGGATCAACCAAGCAACACATGCTACACTCTTCTCTCCGCAGCAGCAACTCTGGATCAACCAAGCAACACATGCTACAGGACCAAGAGAAGAGTTAGATGAACCGAAGAGGGTGTGGTACGTAATACAGTGGACAAATCAAAGCTGCAGCAGCCAAGCTTTTTATGTAAAAATCAACTGCTCTTATTAATATATGATAAACTAGAAACCAAACCAGCATTGCCTCCATTTGAAACTTTGGCATCAAGTGGGTTAACTGCTGGGGAAATGATAAACCTCAACTGAAAAGTGGACATCAGAGTGACTCCAAAAATGAGTGAGAAATTCTCCACTTCTCTACACCTGTCACTCATCTGTGTCCCTTAGTGTTAAACTTCACAACCTAGCCAACATTACTGTACTGGATTTCCAGAAACTTGTCTTCATTCATTTTCCTCTTGGTGCTGTTTGACCCCGCTATCTGCATTAAGATTTAAGTGCTAGTAATTCAATATTGGTATTGAGGTAATATTGACATGGTAGGTCAGCACTAATGGCACTAGACATTACAGTAGAACCAGTTTACCGAGTTAAATGGACTTAAATCGCCTAGACAGTCATTTTTCAGATAGCATATTATGTCCTTTCAGTTTCACATCAGGCAAAGCATTAAAATTTAGTCAGATGCATTTTGAGAGTAATCCTTTTGTTAAATACAGATACAGCTGACACCCAGTTATAAAGTATACAGATGGAGACTAGCTAAATATAATTCTAAATATGCTGGGAGCATCTTAATCAGCCTGGTGTGGTACAGTTCATCTACATGGCAGTCAGAGATGTCTAAAAGGGTTTTATTACTTGATTCCTCTTTTCTTGAGAGAAGAAATAGCACCATTACTCAGGAACTGATAATAATACAGGCCTGGAGCCTGTCTGTAGCATATCTAGACTGGGTCTAGTAATAAAAGCAACAAAAGAGATTTTAAATTGTAAACTTGTGATAAAGTTAAGTCTTATTTCCAGGCAGGGGAGTATGGGGAAGTTAAATGATTGCCTGCTACTGTGCTGTGAGTCCCATTATAATGTCTGTAAAGAAAAACTATATATTAGTGAAACGTTCATTGAACCTTAGATAAGCTTTTTATTTTTTATTTTGTACTGGGCATATTTTTATTTTATAGTCAAGTCTTTTAAAGTAGCACTTTAGAAGTTCAGTTTAAAATAAATACTTAGAGAACTGCAGTGACTTCTTGTTTGTAATGTTCATAATAGAAGATATTTCATACACAGTATGTATGCTTTGTAAAACAATAGCTGAATGTTATACAGTGTTTCAGAATGACTCCATGTTGTATGTTCTTAGAGAACTGCAGTGACTTCTTGTTTGTAAGAAGTCTTGAATAATTTATTTAAAATATAAAAACTACCTGGTAGAAAAGTCTGCATTTTAACTGAGTCTTAGTTTAAATATTTGGCTGACAGAATGTGATCCTCTTTAATATGGAAATATAAAACTTCTGAAAATTGTATCATATGGTATTACTGTAAATTCTTACAGTTCTCCAGCAGAACCCAGTACGGAGTTTTTAGATACTGTGACATCTGCACTATTTTATTTTCTAAAGTGGCATTTGGTGTCACATGAATTATTATGTATATTTGAGTTTTTGTGGATGTATATAGAGAATTAAAAAAACACCATTGTTTTTTGTTTCTTTCTGTGTGTGTGTGTGTGTGTGTGCGGCTGTACTCAGTAAGCACATTCAAGGCTTGCTGTCTTCCTGCTTTGTCATCCCTCCTTCATATCTGTGCCTGAGTGTTTCCTCCTTGGAGGTTTTCGATTTGTTGTTTTGTTCTCAAACATGCTGCTTGATTGCCACTGACATTCTCAGTGTTTCTGCTACAGTGTTTTCCTACAGTATTCTTCCTGAAGATAATAAAAGCCAGAGCCTCCTTGGAAGAAGCTGACTAAATGGAACCTTCAGAAAAACTGTCTGTTTTTAATCTCAACTTTTATCTGTAGTGGCCCCCACAGTGTGATAAAGTTGGCCTCAAACCAGCCAGATGTGTACTGCTTAACATAACAAAGACACCCAACATCTTCTTTGTAAACATGACCAAAAAGGTAATTTATTTGTATGTTCATAAAAGCCTTACATTGTTTATATTAGGGATTTTCAACCAGTGCCCCATGGCCCACTGGTAGTCCGCAAAGACACTGCAGATAGTCCCTGACCATGCATTCAATAATGCTGTTTCACCGCAGGAAGCTTTTTTTAAACACATTTCCATGTCTTGATCTTTGTTCATGAATAATCAAATCCATGCAAATATATAAGATGACTTTCAGGATTAAAATAGTGGCCCACAACAGTGGTCCTCAGGTTACTTCTTAGTTAGAATGGTGGTCCCGGGCTCACAATTACTTGAAAACCCCTGGTTTATATGGTCTACATCAGGGGTTTCCAACATGTTGCTGGCAACCTGCCGGTAGTTCGCCTGCATAGTATGTAGCCTGCAATGCATGCATTGTAAAACTAAAAACATTACACAATAGAATCACCTGTCAATCAAATGAGTTGTCAATAGCAATAGGAATTCTGGCTCTTTTAAGAGAGCCTGTTCTTATGGCTCGGCTCTTTCGGCTCCCAAGTGGCTCTTCAGATTTCTTGTTGCTTAAATTAATTTATTACCAAAAATAATGCAAAGTTATGTGTAAATTACTAATGTACAAAACATACATTATATCAAATGTTTATTGTGTGGATGCTGAGTAAGCTGAATTTTAATTGATTACATCATAGTTTTGATTTAAAGAATTCTCTCTTTAAAAAAATAATAATAAAGCTCCCAGTTGTTTCCATTCTGTTTTTAACTTCACTACTACTTAAATCTTAAGTCTTAAAATTAAGGCGTTCACTTTAACCTAACATGACCGAAGGTAAAGGATCTCACAGAATACAATCATTTTTGGTGTCAACACCAAGTCGGTATCAGAGCAGTGAAGTAGTAGAATTTTGAATTATTAGATGTGTTAAACCTGTCACTTTCTTTACAAGTCAGGAGCTCAGAAATTCACCTTTTTCCTTGCATTACGTGAACAGCAGCAGCTCAGGTGGTTGAGTAAGATAAACTAAGACAAGATGGCTAGTGAGACAAGGTATCTTAAACTTACTGATAACATTTCTTTTCTTAAATGACAGAATATTCTTTGGTTCATTTCTCTCCAATTCAGAGGTTTGTAATTATAATGCTTGTAGTCTAAGGCTGAAATATTTTCCAAGTTAAGAAATGTAGGTATAATTAATGTAATTATTTCTTTTTAAGTTCTTTTTAAACCAGGTGTAGAATCAACAGGACACCCACGAACAATCTGCTTCAACGGTTAAGAGCAGGACTTTAATACACAAGATGAAGGATAAAAGTACAGCTCGTATTGGGTTACTAGAGATAAATTGGGCTTTGCTAAGAAAGTCAAACATAAAATACCAGGAGGCTGATAAAACTCAAACTAAAATGAAGGACTTCAAACTGTTCAACTTAAGAGTAGCACAGGAGAGGAGTAAAGAATGGGGTCCAAGGCAGGGCCTGTCTCCATCAGTGCTGCCTTCACGGCAAACTTATCAAAGAAAAATGCAGCAGTCAGGCTCAAACGTAGCAGGCCAAAGACAACTAACATTCCCTATGTCTTCAAGTCAGAGTCCTTTGAGTCAGCTGTTGATGTACTCACATGGGAAGAGTACCGCACCCTCCCTGCTGACTCCAGCTTGTGCTCATTTGACTCTTTGGTGTTCTCTCTACCATGGTGTGTTGTTTTGAGGCTGCCCATTCTTGGATAAACAGCAGTATGCTCTGTATCTAGTTTCCACAATAAAGCATACATATGTTTTCACTGTCTTTAATATTAGCCTGATCCAAGTCAAGTGTTGCAAGGCAGAAGCAGAGGCTGGCTTCACAGCTACACAGCTGGCTGAGAGCAGAAGGAGACATTTAATGGCTTGAAATACAGGCATAACCTTGTTAAATGATTTATTATTAAACTAACACATAGTATGTGGCTAGTTTACAAAATACCATACAGTAGCATTCAAGTATTTTATATTTTATCATAAGACACTTTGGTTACAATTCAGAAAGTCATACTTAATTTTTTCTTTGTCCACAATGAGCAGCAGCTCATTTGGTGGAATGAAGCACAAAAGGAAAACAGGTTATTAACACCATTAATGTTTGAATTGTCAATATAATGAAATTAGTTAGGTGTGTTTTAAATGGCCCCGTCTTACATTACATTCTATTGTAAGTCAATTTCTTCACAAGTCAAATATTCATACTCACCTTTTTGTCCACAGTGAACAGCAGCAGCTCAGGTGGTGGAGTAACAGTAGAAAAAAGTAAATATTGGTTAGTAAAATGGAAAATCTTTATTATTTGGTGATATTACTATATCAATCTAATTATATGGCTGGAAAGCATTGAATTAGAATTGTATTTATCTTTTTCATCCATATAAATTTAATGGTCGGGTGGTCCTTTTCTTAAATCAGGGCTGATGGGCTCAGTTCCATTTTCTCCTATTCACATAACCTTCACTGAATTCTAAAGCACTACATGTCAGCATGCTGTGTGGATCAATGGGCCCCTCTGATGCTTGTTTCTGCAGCTTTTCCTCAGTTTTCTACTCTCTTTTGCTCTGCAGTGAACCCTGCTGATCCATGAACCCTGCATGAAGGAAGGCAACAGGGTCAGCGTAAGGATCAGCACAATGAGGAGCATAAGCAGCAGCATAAGGAGTAGCATAAAGAAAATCATAAGCAGCAACGTAAGGAAAAGCATGAGGTGCAACATAAGGAGAGCATAAGGATGAGCAAAAGAAGGGGTGTAGGAGAACCACAAAAGGCAAAACAGTCAATCACAATATGAATGTAAAAATCACAATTATATGCTCAAAGTGTTGCTTTATAATTATTAATCAATTGTATACCTTTGATACTTAAGCTGTGCTTAATGTTTGTTACACAAATAATGGTTCAGATAAAAATGAGTCCTCTGTTGCTATAGCCTAGTTACAGACATTTTTTTTTACCAACAGAAGAAATGATCTGAATAAAACGTATGGATTTGTGACGTTAAAGGAAAATCCTTAATTAGTGGAAAAAATACAGAGGTCACTGATTAATCTGTCAGTTATTTTCTTGATTATCATTTTATTCAGAGAAATTCAGAACTAGGGAAAAATGTACATTTCAACTTTGCAGTTCCTAACATTAAAAAAAGAACAAGCAAATGGTTAATTTTCTAAAACTGAACTGACTCTAATGAGCATGAAAACTGTGTATAGGGGAATGTGTTCCCCCTGCAACAGAGGAGTACAGACCCTGCTCTGGGGACACCATGCTCTCTGTTGTTCGCTTTGTTCGTTTTCCTTTCATTTGTCTCTCAAAGCCTCCTGCACTTTTACGATGCTCCTTCTTCGGTATCCCGGCGTCATGACGTCTCCGGTCCAGCACCTGCCGCAGCAGCCAGTCGTTTACGCTGCGTTAGAGGCCACCGTGTTGTCTCATGGTGTCAAAACCACAAGTGGGGAGGTAAGCCGGTACAGGTAGGACCGGGAAACGCCCTGACATTGTTGCTCCTGAGCAGAAATGGTTTCGGTTAAACCGACATATGTGCATTCGATAAAGATATGATAACCATAACTCACATAGACTACTTTGAGACAAAAGGGGAGTCCCGTTTGTTTTCGCACCCTGGCGTTGGCAGTCGCGACAAGCTAGCAGCACAGTGCCGGAGATTAGGAGGTTCACATTCAGAATGAAAGCCAGAATGAGCGATTTATGATCGGATATTTGGTGATAATGGCTGTGTATTGAGGTGAGGTGAAATCGGGCTTTTTTTTTGAAGGACGCTGAGAATTCAGAGTAGTATTCATGTGCAATGAATCAGGACAAAGAATAAGCTAACCCTTCCAGTTCATAGTGGAAGTTATGCTAGGCAGTATGTTCTAAGACCTTTATAAGAGCCCGGTAAGCTCTGAACTGTTGGGTCTCAGTGTGCCTTGTTGTATGACGTATATGGTTTTGGTTTATACAAATAAGCATGACATTCATACTGTTAGAGAGTCAGAGAGACTTACTTCCACTAAGGCAGACACAAGCGAGGCTTATTTTGAAAGTCTTATGCGGAAGTCAGGTTTCATAATGCAGTGTTACTTGATACGGGTTATTTAAATTAGAAAACGCCGACCCGGGATGCTTTGTGATGCTGAAAGATTTTTTTCTGATAATGTGTTTTATTTACGTGACAATCATGTCAGTAAATAGACAGATCCCTACTGTTAGGTATTTTTAGTCAGATAGATATTGGATAGATACTTTATGTATTAGAAATGTTTAGTGGAGATAGGATGTCTAGTTAGACTGTTAAATGCTTAGTCATGCTTATGAGTTTCTACAGGGTACATCTGGTCAAGGATAACTAGAGAGAAGAGTTGATGACTGTCAGCAGACAGGGTGTTTAATATTATTATTATGACGTGTATAACTGTAGACTTAGCCATAATATGTTCTTATGCTTAATGTCATGACATGTCACTAGAAGTCTGTGAGAATGTTTTTAGCTACACACCACTTAATCAACAGACACACACACACACACACACACATTGATTTGCTTCATGTTTTGACTACTGCTATGCCCAGCTGCAAAGCTGGTAACAGAGACGTCTCGGTTGACGTTTCTGTGTAGTATGGGGCTCGCCCAACCGAGGGGATATCATGTATAGGCCTGGTGGGTTCAGGGTCTTTCATCTTTCATCTGCCTGCGAGCAGTTTGGAGGTGCAAGATACCTGAGCGTGTAATGTTAATTTTACCTGTGATCCTTGGAATAAATCAGCACTGTTTTGAAGTTACTTGGACTGTCTCGTCTCTGAGTCAGTATGGTAAAAAGTACCGGGTACAACACTACTCATCAGAGACGTAGAGTTGCAGAGCCAGGAGACAAACATGAGTGGCTTGACTTAAGGCAGACAGCATGCAGGAAGGTGCTGCTGTGTTTGTGTGTCTGTTGTTGAGTAATGAGCCTAATGTTAACAAAGGTGCAGTTGACTGAGTCAAGGATTGGTGTGTTGCCATCAGATAAACAGGTGGTGCAGTGGTGAGTTTGCACGAGGAACAGATGTGTGGTGTTTGAATTGAAGCGTGCTCCTCACATGCACTCAGACACAGCCATACAGGCTCGCACAAGCACCAGCCCAGTGTGATAACTTACCTTTCAGTTCCATTATTGCTCTGTTTTATAAATTGCACACCAACTTTACCTGCTATCCTAACCTGCTCATCCTTCAGATAGTTCCCATCATTCTCTGAAATATCCTCTGGCATCTTCAGATCCGTTTCACTGTATTTACTGTAAGATAATAAGGGAAGTAAGAATAGCACAGCTGTCATTACATTTTTTGACACTTTACTATCTTTTTTTGCACACTGATATTCACTTTGCCTTCAGCTCTGAGACAACAGCACCATGGCCAACCATGAAGAAGCCAAGAAGGTAAATGATAGACCTGGCAGTGATCACCATCCCATGGAGCCTCCCAAAGAGAGCATGCAGCTGAAGAAGGAGATCTCGCTGCTCAACGGAGTCAGCCTGATCATAGGAAACATGATCGGCTCTGGCATCTTCGTCTCCCCCAAGGGTGTGCTACTCTATAGTGCCTCCTACGGGCTGTCGCTCATCATCTGGGTGATTGGGGGTCTCTTTTCTGTGCTGGGGGCCCTCTGCTACGCCGAGCTGGGCACCACCATCACTAAATCAGGGGCATCTTATGCATACATTCTGGAGTCATTCGGCGGCTTCCTTGCATTTATTCGTCTGTGGACATCTTTGTTGATTATTGAGCCCACCAGCCAGGCGGTCATAGCCATTACATTCGCAAACTACCTGGTGCAGCCCCTCTTCCCAACATGCGAACCACCATATGTAGCATCCAGGCTCATCGCTGCAGCATGTCTGTGTAAGTTCCTGTGATCTGCTCTGCATTCCACTGCTCATGTCTGTCTGTCAATACATGACACCAGGACATATATGAAACTTTCCACTTTTTCCAGGCATACTGACATTCATCAACTCTGCCTATGTGAAGTGGGGCACCCGCGTGCAGGATGTTTTCACCTATGCAAAGGTAGCGGCCCTCATCATCATCATCGCTACTGGCATCGTCAAGCTCTGCCAGGGTGAGTGCTGTTATACTGGCCTATGCAAACCCTCTGCCACTATTTCTTTGCTGCATGTGCACAGCCTGTGTTTGCTGCTGTAAGATGGAGTGTAACGGAAAGTGCCACCATGTGCTCTAAAACCTAGAAGCAGTTGCTCAGACTAGAGAATGTTTCATATCTTAGCAGCCATCCACAGGGGAGTGCTGATTGACAACAGCTGTGACAACCACAAATGCACAGTATTATAATCATGGTTTACACAGCCACTGTAACATTTTTTGCCCTCGTCTTAGGTTACACAACCAACTTAGAATCCTCCTTTCAAGGATCATCTACAGATCCTGGTGACATTGCACTGGCGCTCTACTCTGCCCTCTTCTCCTATTCTGGCTGGGACACCCTCAATTTTGTTACTGAGGAGATCAAAAACCCTGAAAGGTAACTTGTTTAGTTCCTTCTCAGTAGAAAGTATGACAGCTATAATACTTAAATTTGATCCAGATACAAGCTGATGTGTGCTTTCATTCCAGGAACCTGCCGCTGGCCATTGCCATCTCTATGCCCATAGTCACCATCATCTACATCCTCACCAATGTGGCCTACTATGCTGTTCTGGATGTTACTGCTATAATGGCCAGTGATGCAGTGGCAGTGGTGAGTAAATTAACAGTAAAACACTTATTTTTTTTAAGAAAGACGTGTTTTTCTAAGAGCATATAAGGACATAGAGATGGACAACAAGAAGCATGTGTGTGTGAGCTGAAACTGCAGTTGTCTGTGTCTGGTTCAGACGTTTGCAGATCACACTCTTGGTGTGATGAGCTGGACCATCCCCATTGCTGTGGCTCTGTCCTGTTATGGAGGCCTCAATGCCTCCATTATAGCTGCATCCAGGTAGACAAACACACGCAACAGTTCTGTAGCAGTTATTTGAAACCATCTATTTATTCTACAGTAGCTTAGAGGTTAATTTTCATATGACAAGTACAAGACAGCAGTACTTTTCATGGTGTGTTGTCTGTCATAATCCATGTGTACTGTGTACAGGTTGTACTTTGTGGGCTCCCGTGAGGGTCACCTTCCAGATGCTCTCTCCATGATCCACATACAGAGGTTCACTCCGATCCCTGCTCTGATCTTCAATGTATGAATATGGATCAGTTTCATGTGAATTGTAGTGAAGGAAGTACAAGAAACTTCCTCTGAATGGCAGCTTTTTTCATTCTCTTAGCTGATCTGCAGTAGGAAATATCAAACATTTATGTTTATATATTTTTATTCCATGCTGCACTTTTGTTCCAATCTACAAATGAGTAAATAAAATATAGTTTGTTTTTACTGGAAACAAAGTATTTGGCAGCATCATATGATACTTCATTTAAACCACTTACTCACCTTAGGCAGATGTAACACTGTAACTCGGTTTTCATCCTCCTCTTCTTTTACTGTCCAGTGTGTCATGTCCCTGATCTACCTGACGGTGGAGGATGTCTTCCAGCTCATCAACTACTACAGCTTTAGCTACTGGTTCTTCATGGGTCTGTCTATCGTTGGCCAGATTTACCTGCGCTGGAAGGAGCCTGACAGACCCAGACCTCTCAAGGTAAGACCAGTTAAACACACCCACTGCATGCATTCATTTACTCATCTGGGTCTGAGTCATAATAGCAGTAGGGCATGACTAGTTACATAAAGTAATGGTTGCATTTATTGTGATACTCTGGTGTTCTTACCATTTAGAAAGGAGATCACAGTGAAAATGACTGTTACTGTTTCATAGACACTTTATTGCATAGCAGATGCTGGTTTTTTTGTTGGTGTCGTTTGTGTACGTGTACATTTCCTACTGCAAGCTTTACAAATCCCATTAAATATACAGCTGAATTAAGGGGGTACATTTTGCCTATATCAAAATGACTATATCATAGTCGTAATATTAAAGCAAAGATTTTCAAACAGTTGTTTTTAGCTCATGGTCTCCCTCCTGGTTTCTCCCTCTGCAGCTGTCTTTATTGTACCCGATGGGGTTCTGCCTGTGTGCTATATTCCTGGTGGCAGTGCCTCTCTACAGTGACA